GGGGGGGGGGGGGCTGGGGGGGCCGGGGGGAGAAGAAAGGGGGGGGGACGCCTCTCCTTGCTGTCAACTGCCGATCCGCGCTTCCCCCTCGCCGCGGCCCACCGCGCGGCATGACGCTCGCTCCGCCACGCTCCGCCACGCTCCGCCACAACCACCGCCACAACCACCGGCCAGCCCAACGGCTCGGTACGCCCGACAGAAATGCCTCGATCGGATGATCCCGAGTCCGGCGTGGCATGGCTCCTGCGGGATTACCTCGAGTCAATGCCGTGCCGCATCCTCGCCGAGTCCGCACCGTCCGACAGCTCGACACGGGCACCGTACTCGGTCAACTGCACGGCGCTCCTTGACGCCATCGTCATGCGCTCCGAAGCTTCTGATCAGAGCTGCATCGACCGCGATACACGTGTCGAGCTCACCTCTGCTGTCCAAGCCTTAATCCGGCTGCCGACGTCGACTATGGGAACCGAAACGTGCCGCGCGACGAGATCATCTGCGCTCACACGACCTGGCAGGACATCATCACTCATGCCATGCCGTACGTGGCCGGGTCGTCGTGGATGTTACTCTGGTCGTACGACGCGCCGGCTGTTGTCTCGTCGGCCGCCTCCATCCTCGCCATGGCCACCGGAATCGTGCCCGACACGCGCGATCTCTCTTTCTTTGCCGCCAACCGCCATACGTACGATGACGTGCGAAAGCTATAAACCCATGTCTTACACTCGCCCGCATCGTCGTCTTCCTAGGCCCACGCCCGGGCCCATCTTCGACCCTAGCCCAGCTGCACGCCAACGACCAAGTCGGCAGAGTGACCCTGTCTGACCCAGCGTTGCCCACTGAAATGACGTCGCAAGTCCACACAAGCACAACCACCGTGTACATCACACATCCACCAACAGTCTGGTACCCATGGTTCCGGCCCTGCACTCTGCTAGCTCGCAGAATCGGTACTGTCGTCCATCGCGCCGCCTCAGCCCCAGATCGGCCAGGTGTGACCCGATTCACGGCGCATTGACCAGTCACCGTGACAATCACGGGCGCGACTCGCACGGCTGTTTGCCGCGTGCTATGGCCATTCTGACACCCTAACCCAATTGTAGCACATCACAACTTGTGTTCTGCATTACTTCCATGCTCTTGGTCCCTCTCCTTCGCCCGCTAGTCTTAGATGCATGCGCAATCTGGCGCAATCCGCTCACTTGCGCAAACCTCTACGATAGGTTTGCAGCTGCGAGCTTGACACGACTCGACGAGGACCATGCGAAACACGATTGTGCTCGAGATGCGATGGCGAGGCTCGAGAAGATGGTGCTTATCCGCGGCTGGATCGCCGCTCTCACGAAGCACGGCATCGAGACGAAACGGAATATTGTTTCCGTAGGCCTACGTGCTCATTCCCGGCTGATACTTTGCGCGGCTGTGGGCGGACATTACCAGCTACTTGGAGGCAAAGCCTTTCCACAAGACAAGACACCTGCCCACACAGGTCATGGCCAAGCTCAAGTTGCGGTGGAGGACGCGCGGTTCTGCCCGGTGCGTGGGATGCAAGTGTGGCTGACGAGATGAGCAGCAGTAGCCAAACTGCTCTTGCTCCAATCCTGCTGGAATCTCAAGCCGTCGCGCCAGCCGAGCCAGCCGAGCCGAGCCAGCCGAGCGATCGCTCCCCCCCCCTCCCCAACCCCACACACGCCCCAACCCCAACCCCAACCCCAACCCCAACCCTAACCCTAACCCCAACCCCAACCCTAACCCTAACCCCAACCCCAACCCCAACCCCAACCCCTCCCACCCACCCCCACACACACCCCTCCCCCACACCCCTCCCCCACACCCTCCCCACCACCCCCCCTCCCCCCCACCACACACACTCCCCACACACACCCCT